TTGGTACTTCCTTGAATTTCCCTTTGACCGTATGACGCGAGGAAGGATTCTGCCAGGCGGTTTATTGATCAATCTGTGAAAATCCTTTCTTTAAATTCCAGTCAATCCACCTTGGTTCCATATTTTGCGAAGCTCGTTTTTCAATAACCTGACACCATCCGCCCCATGCATAAATAGACATCTAACGTTACACCTAGTTCGTATATTTACACATCAATCCCACTATTTGACTTTGTTTGTTTTACTACTTGATTCTTATCTTATTTGTTTTTAGCGCAACTTGACCCCTCACATTTGACTCGTTCGAGCGCAGCGTGATGTCGAGCGTGCTACTCTTATCCAGACTCATTTTCTTCCGTAGAGAAAACTCCGTGGCTTATTGATTTACCTGTTTTTGAGTGTTCTTTGAGAGATCCGGTGATGAGATCCGGGTGAGTTTCTGTAAAGTTCGGTTTCGTTTTGGTCTCAACTCCAGCCAATCACTTAAGGGAACCAGTAATGGTGGGGATTTGATTTCTGAGAGTTTATTTGCCGCCATTGGGGCCGATGTTTGTCAGGAATCGGTTGCTCGCCTAGAATCATGCGAAATTTGAGGATCACATGATCACTCTTACCAATCGGTTCCTGGACCTCTAGATTCTCAACCTCTGACAGCAACCTGGTTATCACAAGGTCGATGATTGAGAAGGTTTTCGCTAGTCTCCAGCGCGTCTGTTGCTGGACTTGTCTGACGAGGGTTTTGGCTTGTCTCATACCGGCCAGGAGTTCACCGAAGCTGTCTCTTTGGTCAATACCGTTTTCCGAGTTTGCATCAGGGGCAATAAAGTCCCCCCAGCAGTAGTGTGCTGCAATGAAATTCTGCTAAATCTCGGAGGAAAGCAATCATAGTTTTATTTTCACTGTGTTTTGCTGCCGGGCTGTGGTAACAGAACGAAATGGCTATTTCTCTGTGGGGCCATTCCGTCATGTTCGTCACGACCTGGAGGTTTTAGCTGTGATTATCCGCGGACCTTCGTATTGCTCCAAATGCTGCCCCACTAACAGGAGGATACCACCGCCAATTCTACCGTCCTGCCTATCCACCCTGTTCTCAATGTACACAGTGAAGCACTGGGCTGTTATGCTGTCCTCTGGTCGCAGCCACGTTTCAGTGACTACGATCATTTATGCACCCTGAGAACGCACCATAAGCTCCGGCCACTTGTTCAGTTCAGTTCTGACCGGATGAATTGTGGCTCTTGCTAATCACCCGTTCAGTTCCTTCTGTTGTCCAGTCAATAGTGTGTTCTGAAAGGCGGAGTGTTAGTGTACAGTATTAGATCCATTACAGTGCTTCCGAAAGTAAAGCCTAACGATTAACTTTCAACATTTAACTTCGGGAAATACCACTGCCCAGCATTCGTCTCGTATTATATTGAAAGATTCGACAGTAATATAGTTAACCATCGCTTCAGGTAATTTATTCCACAGTGGTATAACCATTCTCGTGAAGAACCTATCTCGTAGACGTTTCTATAAAAACTTCTTTCCAGTCTACGTTCGTGCCCCCTCGTGCCCCTGGCGTGATCAAAGGAAAATAGGTCTTCGAACTTTAGACCCGAAATCCCTTGCATAACCTTAAATGTTTCTATAAGGTAGTCCCACAGTCGTCTGCGGGCAGGAAGACCAGGTCCAGGTCCCTCAGTCGTTGGAGGTATCTCTTACCTTTCTGGCCTGCTACCACTCTGATTGCTAACCACTGTACATTCTCAAGACACAGTTCATCCTGTTTAAAATACAGGTTGAACGGTGTCTCCCTATGCTCGCTGCATTAGTATAGGTGATAAGAAGCTCCAAATCCCCTATATGTGTGCCTTATCAGGAAAGTTATGATGTCGCTGGGATTCTAGGTCCGAACACCACGACCGGTTTTGGTCCAAGGGCCTCGTGTTTTTGGTCCACTTCGATGTGCGACTCTCTTTCTAAAGGGATTTCCGGGGAATTTCTTGAGCTCTTAAACCTGCCAGGGATATTTCATGGCGAGGGAATAGCAGGCTCTTCGCTGAGCGAACGATTATAAATAAGGTATCTCCTGAAGTGCTCCACTCAGTTGACCCCTGTTTCTTGGCTACAAACTGTAGTGAATAGCTTAGTGTCCCAGTATTATAGCTCGGTTATGCTGGTGGGCCGATGTTTCTATGTATCTCCCATTGTCGTGTGACTAGACGAATAAACCGCCTTTTGTAGCGATTAAAAATTTGTCGGCTGCAGCAAGGAACCACGCCCGGTCTCTCATGTTGGTGAACTATACTAATACGGGTCTGAGTTCACCATTTTTGTTGCTACCAGGGTAAACACTGGCTTATCGATACCCCGAGGTAGTACGTATATGTCGCAAACGAACGTTCATATGAAAACAACGAGACGATTCACGAAACAGAAGATAGGTTGTATTGTTATGACGTGCAGAGTTAGAGAGAGATAGGGAAGCGTGAGGAAGCGTGCGGAAAGTGAAAGTAAATATGTGCTAACCAAAGAGGTGACCTTGGTGTGATAAAACAATGAGATGCACAGGAGGAAGGGTACATGTAGAATGAGATATGGTAAGACCGTCTCAAACCTAGGTTTAAGTTCAGTAGCCGCTGTTCATAGGTTCGGATAGGGGTACCGTTCGCTGCCTGCAAAGTCAGTGCTGCTGTGTTAGTAGCATTCTGTTTGGTGAACGGGATTATATTGACTTGCTCTCCGGTATCTACCACGAACCTAATCTTGGACGAGTTATCGTAGATATAGAGAAGGCGACAGGAGGTGGGATAGCCGGTTGAGGTAGTCGCCGTGACCTGCCGACCTACAATTTTCCCTGCTGATTTTTGAACGAACACGGCGGTCTGCATTTACCAACTTGATTTCCGAAGCCCCTGTGGTGATGGCACAGACCGCCCGTAGATGGGGTTCGCCTGCGCCCGTTGCTTGACCGGGAACGACTACGGGTCGTGCGAGTAGCCTGCAGGTTGTTGATGGTGGTCTGCATAATGGCCATGGCTAAACGAAGGTTGGCCAACTTCTTAGACAAAAGCTGCACTTCTGTCATGGGCTCGTTGGAGAGGTTAAAGGGAGCTGAATTCGGAAGTGTCTAGTACACCATTGTTGATTCAAGGCTTCTAACGTTCGCGATTGTTGGCTGAAAAAGTTGAGCTTGCGCCATGGCTCGGTCTGCAGCTTCGACTGGTTCGTCGAGACTGAGGGAATGGGTGAAGACGTTAGGTATGCTCTGTACGTAAGGCGGAAGTCGATGGCGCAGTACAGAGTCGTCTACAGTGGTACCGCCTACCAACGCACGCATATCCAATGGGAAATACCTGAGTTAACACTGTGTACCCTAACAGTGCAAGCTGCAGGCTGCATTGTAAGAAATAGGGGCCGACACTTCTGCATCTTAGGTGTCTACAGATCACCAAGCGCTAGACCGGAGGATGATTGAGCTCTACTAAATCTCATTGCCGTAGTCAGTAGGGGAAAGCACTCGCCGATTATAGTGGGGGATTTCAATCTACCTGGAATTGAATGGGATTATGAAGATGAGGGAGATGAGCAAGCAGAACGTGAATTAATGGACTGCTTCTATGCGGCATTGCTCTACCAGCACGTGAAAGAACCAATGCGTATTCGGCTAGGGCTGAGACCGTCCACCTTGGATCTGGTCCTCACACGGCAAGAGAGTGAGATCAGCGACCTAAAGCAGAAGATTCCTCTCGGTAAAATCGACCACAATGTATTGTTGCTGGAAACATGCATTGCGAAGGAAAAGCCACCCCGCAATTTCGGGCGAATGGACATAGAGGACTTGAGGCGAGATGCTCATACTAGAGCATGGTTCCCGCAGGGAACAGAAGCGTCCGTGGATCAACGATGGGAGAAAATCCGCGACCAGCAAATAGACCTGACGGAGAGGCATGCCCCCTTGCAGCCTCAGCGTGATGCCCACAAACCGCACTGGTGGAAGCCGACCATTAAACGTGCCATAGGGGAAAGGGCTCGTAGGTGAAAGGCATTCGTTCTCACACGAGGGCATGATCGATGGCTATAATATAAGAAAGCGAGAAACTATGCTAGCAAGCTAGTAAACCAGGCGAAAATGGCTTTTGAGATGAAAATCGCCAAGAGAGCGCGCCAGGAACCCAAGAGGTACTATAGCTATGTGCAATCGAAGACTGCACTAATGCAATCGGTAGGTTTGCACTAAGGCAATCGGTAGGTACTTTGGAGAACCCCGAAGTTGGGCTGTCTGTCTCAGATTATGAAAAATGTGAGACGCCCAAGGGATACTTTCAAACCGTTCATAAAATATACGACGGGTGTGCAATCCCACAAGAGTGCTTAGACACCCCTCCAATGGGTGATTTAAAAGTCTCAGCTAGTTGTGTTCTCAAGGTTTTGGAGAACTTGAATGTGAACAAATCTGCCGGCAGCGATGGGCTACATCCGGCCATCATCAGGCCACTGGCTTAAGTGCTCGCTCCCGAGATAACCGCACTCTATCATGAGTCCTTTAGGGCTGGGAGAGCACCTAGTGATTGGGCGACTGCCACAGTAGTAGCCATCCACA